CTTCATATATCCATAAAGATATGAAGACCTGGATGACCTCTAATTTTCTGCTTCTAAATTCAGATCCAACTGAGGTTATTGTACTCGGCCCTAAAAATCTTAGAAATATGGTCTCTAACCAGATTCTTAGTCTGGACAGCATTACCTTGGCCAGACAGACACTATCTCTACTTTCAAGATCAGGCTTCAAACTTTCCTTTTTGCTAAAGCATATAGTTAGGGCTGGACCAGGTGACCCTGAATCCTCCCTTAGTTATGCTGCAGTGGGTCTAGGCTGCTGAGAGATTCCCATGATGCACTGGGTGTTTCTTCTACAGTCACCTTTCTCACTCACTCTGTGTTTATACACATTATTATTCATCTCTGGCTCTCTTCCACAGCATGTCTTTGTCTTGTCTTCCTCCCCTCACCCCGACCGGTCATGGCTCCTCCTGCCTGAGCTTGTTTTTTTTTGTTAAAAGAAAGTTCTTACGTCCCACTGTCACCAAAATGTTTTCTTATGAGGGTTCATATGATTGTTGCTGTTGTTTTGAGTTGGTGCTATATAAAGAAATTGAATTGAACTTTTTGTCTTCCAGGCCTTTGTCATCGCTTTCACCTCTGACTTCATCCCTCGGCTTGTCTACCAATACATGTACAGTCCTGACGGCACCTTGCATGGCTTTGTCAACCACACTCTGTCATACTTCAATGTCACTGACTTCGATCCAGGCACAGAACCTCTGCAGCCAATGCACCTGGGCTACAAGGTATCAGTATGCAGGTAAGCTTTTGCTTTCCTAGGGTCTGGAAACTGAGGCTGCTGAAGTCATCAGACGATATTCATATAATGAAGACTCAATATATCCAAACATATTCAAATTTCTCATTTATCTATTATAAAAGCACAACAACAGTTTGAATAAACTTTATGTAAAAAAGCTTTTGTGTTTTTTACTGCTAGATACAAGGACTACAGAGATCCTCCCTGGTCCAGTACGAAATATGAACTTTCCAAGGAATTCTGGGCCATTCTAGCAGCTCGTCTCGCCTTCGTTATTGTTTTTCAGGTTCGGAACAATGCACAGATAAGATCGCACAAAGCAAACAAACCATTTATGATTTCGTTTATTTCATGAAATAAGTCGTTGATAGAAATCGTCTGAACATAGCCTGTGACATCTCATTTGAAGGTACTCATTTTCCTAACCTGCTGTTTCACAGCCTTAAGTGCAGAGTACTCGTCAGTCATAAAACATTAGTATAAAAACAGGAAGTTGAGTTCTACAGTTGACTTATTGAGGTAGCTGTAATTCAGGAGTTAGAGCATATTATCTGCTAATCAGAAGGTCAATCCCTGGCTGCTCCAGTCTGCATGCCAAGACATGGCATCAGACAAGTTCCTCTCCAACGTGTCCATCAGTCTGAAATGTGTGAATGTTAGATAGAAAGCCATTAAGCATAGAAAAGGGTGTATGCAAACCTATATGAGTAAGTGTGAATGGGGGAATGAGACATGTTGTATAAAGCACGTTGAGTCCTCAGTAGTGTAGAAAAGCACTATATCAGGTCTTATTAGGTGATGAACCTGCTTCCAGGTCCGAACCACTCTGCATTTATTACGGCGTTTTTAATCTGTTTTCATGGATGCCTGCATGTTAAACTTCATAGTTACACCTGGTGGAGCAGCGACACTGATCATTTTATTAAAGATGAAAGAATTTACAGTTTTTAACTCAGTGATGCTGCAGTAGTCGTTTGACTTTGGGACCTGAAGCGAATATTTGGACCCGGAAACGTCTGATGACGTCAGACTTAAAGGACTGGATAAGAACCAGTCCATTCATTCCTTTAACCTCCTAAAACCCGAACTCTTCCACGGCAGCATTTTTAATTTCTCTTTGATATTTGGGCTGATTGGGGCCCGATGAATGTAAAAAGAATTACCTGATTTTTGTTTTGTTTTTTACCTGATTTTTGTTTCTAAGAAAAATGAGAGCCACGTATGAGGATATTCATTTAAATTTTGATAGAACTGTAGCAGCATAATGTCCTCGTAAGTGGATATCAGGCCCCTGTAGAGCAAAATTAAGTATTTTGGTCTAAATAACCCAAAATGTGATGTCCACATATGTGGACGCAGGTCCTAGGAGGTTAAAACTAATGTTGAGTCTACACAGAGCCATATGAATTATTATGTTCCTGCCATTTTCAGCGATCTTCTCTGAACTTGTTGAACTTATGCTTCTGTAGATTTGAGATTTCTGTAGAGCTCCACTCATATGCTGTCTTCCTCCTCTATCTAAAAGGAGGTAAATGATATAACTATTAGTTGATTTAGCACTCTTTGCTACTTCTGTTGCAGCTGACTTGGATTAATGGTTTATTTATTGCACATTTTATTCTTAATGTAAGAGAAGAAGAAGAAAGGTTCAATCACTAATGAGAATTGTTTTATAATGATCTGTGTTCTCTGTTGACTCTGCCCTTTGCAGAATGTGGTGATGCTTATGAGTGACTTTGTGGACTGGCTTATCCCAGACATTCCTAAGGACATCAGCCTCCAGATCCACAAGGAGAAGATCCTAATGGTGGAGCTCTTTATGAAAGAGGAGCAGGGGAAAAGGTTTGCAGCAAGAGACAACCAAGACAACTGCACAGTTCCTCTGTCAGCTAATCAGAGGCCACCACAGCCACGCTCACGCCCTGTTTCACAGGCAAACTGCTCCTAACCTGTTGGTTGGTGGGAAAAGAATCACAAATGGCAATAAGCAAAACAAATTCTTACTGAGCTGTTAGAGCGGTCTGGTTGAGGTACAAGCTAACTGTGTAAAGTCCACATTAACAGTCAGTTTTGTAATATCAGCAAAGGTTTTGCTGCACTTGCATGTGACATTTTCCATCTTAGACCACTAACCATAAATCCTCAACTTATTTTACCAACTTCTTCTTTATTGGATGTAAACAAGGAAAGAAAAAGCCATTCAGCCTTCAGCCTCTCTCTTTAACCCATTCTCTACTCAGCAAATGGAACCTGTCGGCTTTACAGAGCCCAGAAGAAGTGATTCGAACTCTAAAACAATTTACAGCATTTCAGGTGCCATTTTATTTATTTGAAGATTTTGCCAAAGAAAAACATTTTCCACTACAGCCGCTCACACTTTGCAATTCAAGCTATTATTTTGCATAGCTAGCTATCAACTATGAGTAAGTAAATGTCCGGTGCATTTTCTTAATTACTAGTGTAGAGTTTGTGTGCTAATAAGGGAAAGGAAATATAGTAGTAAGTGTTTGCGGTGTGCGTGTTATTGTGTTTTTAAAATGTGGAGTGTCAACGAGACAAGAACTTTGCATTTTTTTAAGTTGTTGATGTCTCTGAAAAGTAGGACCAGTGTATCACATAAAGTCACCACAGGAACAGGTTTGAACCCGGTCAAAGCGTTACGAAGTTGTCTGCCTTAAATCACTCAACTCCTCAACAGATTTCCAGCATGAGATGATCATCTTTCTGTCGACAATGATCATTCACCATTTTTCATATATTTGTATTTAAAAACATTACCTTGCAACAATTTTTAAAGCTGCAATTCCAGCTTTTTAAGCACAAAGCATGAATAACGTTGTCTTTTATATTTATTCAATGAATTAGTTTCATGAATCCGTAGGTGACCAGGGATCTACTAACTTTAGCTACTTTCTAAAAATGTTTTATTGTTGTCCCAATTTGAATTCATAGTTTTGTAAACAAGAAACTATAACTATTCTTATCACTAACGGTGTAACTTCTTTCTGAGCTGTGACAAAAACTGCACATTTTAATTTACCAAATAATTTTCCCATTAGTAATCTCTGGCTTAGTTGGTTAGTAGTCATAGTCATTAATAGAGCACATGTACGGGGTAGTAGTGCCTTTGTTAGCTTAATTTCTTTCCATCACAGCCTTTTATAACTTTGTAAAACCTGATGTCGTACATGAACATCCTCTTTGGATTGCCCTGATGAGATCATATTCTCCTGTTTTCAACACTAATGAAACAACAAATGTAACATCCTAGTATTTAAACTAATGTGTGTCAGTGCACATTCATGGCTGTCTTTGATAACTTGTCTGTTTATTATTTATATTTACTGCAAAATAAAGGGTGAATGTCCTCAAGTTGTTTTATGTGTTGAGTAATTTCACATCTTTTGCACAGTTGGAGTCAGGGTAGATTTGGAGTTTGTATTATTTGCTCAAGTTGTGACTGCACGAGTCAGCAGAGACAGTTTGTGTTAGATAATAGTTTTATTTGTTTTTAGTGAGGTTTTTAGGGCAGGGATAGCTCAGTAGGTAGAGTGGTTGCCCCATGATCGGAAGGTCGGGGGTTCGATTCCCCTTAACAGCTACCCTGAGGTACCCCTGAGCAAGGTACCGTCCCTACACACTGCTCCCCGGGAGCCCAATGGCTGCCCACTGCTTCACTGAGTGAATGGGTTAAATGCAGAGAGCAATTTCCCCACGGGGCTCAATAAAGTACAATAATGTGTATCACTAATAAAGGTATGTTTAATACCTTTATGATATATAAATAATTTGTGTGTGTGTGACTGAATTGTATCTGTAGGTACTTTGTTACTATAGCAGCCTTTTACAAAACACAGTTCGTTCCAACTTCTTTAGTTAAACCCATGAATATTGACTAACTACTAGTATATTATTTTATTTTCCAACTTAAAATCCTGTTTACATGCTACACTGTGTGCGCTTACTTTACATATGGGTGAAGTAGCTAAGATATGCTTTTTGGGGTCAATCTTGGGAGCACTGTCTGCCACAGCACAACGTTACCATCGCATTATTAAATAATAACTGTAACAACACGTGATTCTATCACAACTGTTTAATTCAAAGAAAAGTCTTTGGCGGTCTGAGCCGCTGGGATCAGCGGACCAGCTCCTGTGCGCCCTCGGATCTAGCATAACCGTAACACCGCTCAGCAGACGGGCATGCTTACGGCAAACCTCCCCCATCCCCGCAAACACACTCCTCGGTGTTGTACGTGTGCCGTGTTTCCATTGGTTATCGGTAAGCGGAAGTTTAACAACAGACACGCCGGATAGACGTAACTCACCGAAATGAAAGTGAAAGTCAGCCGCCCAGAGGCTGTGCTGTGTTTGTGCTCGATCCTGTCGACATGAGCGCCTTACAGTTTAACAGCGTTTTGTTGGAGATCTCTAACGCCATGTCTGCTGATCAGCTGAATGAAATGAAGTTCCTGGTTCTACAAGAGATCGGGAAAAGAAATCTGGAAAAGATCGGCAGCGGCCGGGAACTCTTTCAGCTTTTCAGGGAAAGAGGCAAACTGTCAGAAGATAACACGGCCTTTCTTTCAAAGCTTCTCAGAGAAATTAAGCGACAAGATCTCTCGGACAAGATAGACAACTTCAGTATTCAGCCTGAAGCTGACGATGGCCTGAGTGAGGAGGAGAAAGGTACGACATGTTCGTGTGAGCACAGTCACAGTGTGGGGAGACAAGAGCAACGATAAGAACAGTAATAATAATGCACGTCTGCAGAGTATCGTGCTCCAAAGTATGGGCGCTGATTTATACAGAAAACGAGTGACTTTCACTTTAGACACCAGCATGTTTGATTGTATCAGCCGCAGACTCGAGAAACACGGCTGGAGCCTTCCTCATTTAGTGCCAAACATTCAAATATTCTTTTTAGGCAATAAAACATGTCGTCTCACAAGCTTCATTTGAGGTTTATACAAAGAGTGCCAAAGGATGCACTGGGTTCCTGTGACTGGGCAGAGTTAGCCATTTATTCTGTCTGAGCTTCCACCCATACTTAACACAGCTGACCACATCTGTGAAGTCGTCTGGTCATTGGAGGGTAAAGGATGCTGTCACAGTGCAGGATGAAAGCTGCTTTGTTTAGCAGTCACACACTTACTCCTGCCACCGATTGCAAAGAGAAAAAAGAGAAAATGAAAAGTTCTCAATCCTGAAATCTTTCGACCAAAAATGTTTTCAGAAGCCTGAGACACTGTTTTTGTGTCGTTCAGTATAAAATCACCCAAATGCCACAATAGTTTCCAGCTGACCTCAAAATCAAGTAATTGTTGTAATGTACAGTAACTTTAGCTTTTTGACGTATTTAACTACGTTTATGGTGTAATTAATCTTTATTTTTTAATTAAGACGTGCCAAAATCTTGTGTTCTTATTAGTAAAAAAGGCCCTGGATGTACCAGGACAATGTTTATCACAAGACTCTGCAGACTCACGATTCAGGGACTTGTGGAACCGTGTTCAGCAGCAATAACGTGAACGAATGGTTTTCTGTTTGACTTTCAGTGTTTCACATAATTGTAGAGGAAGTCTTCCCCACTCTTCTTAACAAAGGTTATGGAGGCATTAATTTACTCTTAGCTGTCCTAACGTCACACCACAGTGTTAGTTAGTTAGGTCGAGGTCTGGACTTTGACTTTTTCAGTGTTTTTCTAACTACACTCACTTGAAATGTAACATTTTTCAGGCCTGTAGAGTGGGTTATGGTGTCTGTGATTTTGGGCTAGGACACACATAAATGATCAAAAAAGTTTTGGTTTTACAGCGTTTGTCACATCTGCTGATAATCAATTAATCACATTTGATGAGCAGCACCTGTCTGCCACATGCCCTCTTAATTTTTATGAAACTGGTAAGGATGCACTTGTGCTAAAGACGTTTATGACACTACTACCTCAGGTTGTAGAGAGAAAGAAAACCCTACCTCACGACCCTCTAAGCGAAAGCATGTAACGACAGTGGGAAGGAAAAAATCTGGAGCAGAACCAGGCTCAGGGAGGGGCGGGGCCATCTGCCATGAACAGTTGGGGGTGAGTGGAGAGAGAAGAGAGCACAGACACACCGCTTAAAAGATGCTCATGGGAGAGAGCCAGAGTTTTAACCCTCTCAGGCCCAATTAAGTTTTTTGTTGCTAATGCACAACCAAGTCCTGCAGTGGTACTTCTGAGTAAAGCAACTCATAAAATATGTCTGTGGGGTGATCAGGTTGTTAGTTCTTAACGGTTGCAAATCTGCAGCGTCTGCCTGGAGAGGGTTAAAAACCTGCTGGGGGGAGTTTTTCCTTCCCACTGTCGTCACGTGCTTTCTCTTAGAGGGTTGTGAGGTAGGGTTTTATCTCTACATACAACAAAGCAGATTTGCACTGTTGTATGTATAACCATAAATACATCAAGAATGTATTGTATTGTCTGCAGACTTATGCCGTCTGCAACAGTCATTGACTAGATAAGTGGAATTATAAGTAGGTCTTTACGCAGGGAGTTTTAGATAGGCTTGTTTCTAGTTGTCCCTGTTTGGGGCCACGTTTCATTGTTTCCTGGTAGGGTGTTTAGATGGCTGCCCTGGTTTCCAGAAAGTATCTTAAAGTTGAATCTTTACCCATATCAGAAAAATGTTTTATATTTAACCTGTTAATATGTTTTTCTCCTTTGCAGCAAAACTGAAAATTGCCACAGAGGTAATTGCCGAAAATCTTGGAAAGAGTTGGCGAAAACTAGGCCGCAAATTAGGTTTGAGTGAAACCAAGCTGGAGTCCATCTCTAACAGGCGTCCAACAGATCTCGAGGAGACGGCAGTGGAGCTGCTCAAGGAGTGGAGGAAGAGTCAAGGAGCTGAAGCCCAAACAAAGATGCTGATAGATGCTTTGAGAGCTTGCCAGTTGAATATGACTGCTGATAAAGTAGAGGAAAGACTCTAGCAACCTAGAATACACTCTTAAATTGAAAATTGTTGCTCAAGGAAATGGCAAACAAAAAGGTTAAAAGTCATGAAAGTAATTTGTCTATGTCCTGTTATCGTTATTATTAGTTTGCTGTTTGGGTCTCCTGCTTTGTGAAAGCAATGTTGCTCTCAGTCTTTCAAGGTGACTAAATTGCTCGTGATATTTGTTAATATGGCTCATATATAAAAGTGTTCAACTGTATTGAGGTACAGGATCTTCTCATCAAGCGTTCCAAAATTATGAAAGATATTTTTTATGTCACACTATTCATCCAAGATTTTGCTCTTGATTCACAATTTAGACGAAAAGGGAAATAATTAGGAAAAGAAGCTGATTTTGGAAAGTAAAATGAGATTTGTGTTGTTGTTCTTTTTATTCTTTGTCAACACACAGCTTTGTATTTCAATGCTTTTGCTCGTCTAACCCAAAATATACCCCGAATCCAACTCTTTTCCCTCGTAGGCTTTGATGTCATCAAGGTGGCAGGTCCTCTGCCCAGGGTGCAGTTTCTGCAGACAAAAATGAATCTCATTAAGGGAACCTTTCTGTAAGAACCAAAATGGGACTGACAGATGATAACTGTGACACGGTGGGAAGGAAATATTCCCTTTAGCAGGAGGAAGGCTCGGGGACTTACCTGTTGGGAGTGAGGGGAAAGAGAAAAGCAGAAGCACACAAAATAAAAGGCATGAGAGCCAGCGTTTAAAAGGAACGAATAATAATTCAATAGAGAGTGAAATGAGAAAGAAGAAACAACGCCCTAACTATATGCTTCAGCAAAAAAGAAAGTTTTAAGCCTAGTCTAAAGAAACCAGAGGGTGTCTGTCTCCCAAATCCAACCTGGGAGCCGTTTCCACAGAGGAGAGGCTCTGCCTCCCATTCTACTTTTAAATATCCTAGGAACCAAAAGTAAGCCCGCAGTCTTTTCTCACTCTTTTCTGATTACAGTACTATGAAGTCTTTAAGATAGGATGGGCCCCGATTATGCAAGTAGCATTTTAAACCGAATCTGCAAAGGAATGTTTGTAAAGTTAGAGATGTTGCACAAAATTAAGCAGAAGCGTCCAACTTTTCAGCTTTTCAGGGAGTTTTTAGGAAATCCTGATAATAATGAATTACAGTCGTCCAGTCTAGAAGTAATAAATGCAGGAACTAGTTTTTCAGCATCACTCTGCGGATGTTTTTTTTTATTTTAGAGATATTGCACAAATGGAAAGCAGTCCTACATATCTGTTTAATTTACACATTGAAGGACAAATCCTGGTCGAATATGATCTCACAGTGTTACTGTTGACGCCATCTAACGCAAATATCTGGTCAGACAGGATATTTCTTTGTGACTGCAGTTTAACAATGCCAGGATAATTAATAATAATAACTAAATGGTGTCTCATATTGTGTGGGATAGAAACAATTTCATGCTTAAAAACAACGAACCTTTGATTGGATGGTTCACCCTGATCTCCTTTCTGTGTGGCTCTCTGTGTAGCTACAGATGGTGCTAGCATATGAACATGAACTGATGCTAGTTTGGGTCACTTGCAGAAATCTGCATTTTCCTCTTTTGAGGAAATTCGGGGCAAACCTGCTGCAGGGCAGTTCAAAAAATCCATGCATGAGACTTATTTTCATTTTACATGATATCTACTTGACTTGGTCTGCTAAAGCTTTTTTTAATTTCACTTTAATGTTGGGATATATTTCTTACACAGAATGAAGACCCAGGTTCACCCCCAAAAACTAGAGCTGAAAGTGTAAGAGGAAGGGATTTCCATGCAAGAAAGGATCTTTAAAGACCTCCAGACTTTGTCTTTTCAGACACAGTTTCTCATTTTAAAGTTAGCTGACTTTGCAGTACAGTATCACTTTGTGTGTTTGTTGTTGCAGTATACTTACAGCACTGGTAGAGTCTGTTCAACCTATCGATATCATTTTTGCTCATCTGAGTGGCCCCGCCCAACATTACATTGCTATTAGGAATGGGCACCATAGTGGGTTGGTTGTTCTTGGAGAAGGCGTACCTGAAAACAAGTTAAGTTCATTTTTCTGGTGATTTAGCTCCTCAGTACATCATGTTCTAATCTTTGAAAGCATATTTGCACTGGTTTTACTCAACACACTTGTATAGGACGGTATGCACAGACAAGTTATGATTGTGCACAGGCTCTGCTCTGCTAGCAGTATGCTGCAGGGACAGTTGATGGTTTCTTCATGTGAAAATAATAGGAACACCCAAATTCCTAACTTGATACATAGTTTACTTGGACTTATGTGTAAAAAAAGTATAAAAGTAACATATGTAAATAAAAGTATGAATTTATTCTTACCTCTCATATTGCATGACAGAGTTGTAGTCATAAGGAGTTCCCTGGTTTAGAGTATCAATCTTATAGAAATTGTACACCATGTCTGTGAGAATAAGGAGATATGTTCATGATGTGTGGGAACTCAAATATCTAACAAATGCACATTTTTATATTATCATTCTAATAAAGCAGCCGTTGAACCTCATCCCATTTAGGGTTGTTGTCATGAACTAATTTTAAGCTAAAAACGAAAATTATGTCTTAAAAAGTAAATCAAATCAATAAAAAATGAACTCCACTAACAATAAAAAATAACTAAAGATTTAAAGTAATAAAAACATGGTTGAAAGGGCTGCACCCACTCTGGAGATAACTAAGAGGCTCTAAGCGGTAAATTGATCAGTAACTATATAGCACTTGTCTGATTTAATTAAATGCTCAAAGTGCCTTTTACTATGAGCCTCATTAGCCCATTTACGGTGGGCTACAGCCACGGTGGGGTGGCTGTAGCTCAGGTGGCAGAGCAGGTCAGCCACTAATCAGAAGGTCGCTGGTTCCGTCCTTGGGCAAGATACTAACCCCGTGTTTGCCTACTGGTGGTGGTCAGAGGGCCCGGTGGCGTCAGTGTCCGGCAGCCTCGCCTCTGTCAGTGCGCCCCAGGGTGGCTGTGGCTACATTGTAGCTGCCATCACCAGTGTGTGGATGTGTGTGTGAATGGGTGGATGACTGGATATGTAAAGCGCTTTGGGGTCCTTAGGGACTAGAAAAGCGCTATATAAATGCAGGCCATTTACACACACATTCATAAACAGCTTTATTCTAAAGTTGTATTCATCTTTGTTGACAGATTATGCTGTCATCTTTAGTTTTTTTTTAAATTTTATTTACTGAACTTTAGCTCAGTGCAATAAAACCTTAATCTCAACCTTAATTAGACTATTTCTTTCTCTAGAACTGCTTTGTGCTTTGAACTACTTTAACACAAAATCCAAATTAGCACAGAAAATGGTGACTGACCATCGAGGATGTTTTCCCAGTACACCCTGATGTAGTTGTCCCTGTCAGAGCGGGTCTGTTCGTGATTGAAGCCTAGGGCATGGAGTAATTCATGCTGGACAGTGCTGTGGTAAAGACAGCCCTGACGGCTTAGAGACACAGTTTGACCACCGCCCTGGCGACCCACATAGGAGTAGCAGCTGTTAAAACAGAAAAGTCCAGCAATATTTAGAAATCACAAAAGCCTTTTGTATATCTGTAAGGCAAGTGCTGCTTTACACACCTCATAGGACAACAATAATGTATTTGAACATATGATGAATTATGTTGAATCCTTATTGTTTAAACTGGCCAGTAGTCACTCATTGGCTACTTAAAATATTAGTGGTCCCTAAAACATTTGTAATCATCCATCCATCCATTCACTTCCGCTTCTCCTTTTCAGGGTCGCGGGGGGCGCTGGAGCCTATCCCAGCTGTCATAGGGCGAGGGGCGGGGTACACCCTGGACAGGTCGCCAGTCTGTCGCAGGGCCAACACACAGGGACAGACAACCATTCACACCTAGTGGCAATTTGGATTATCCAATTAACCTATCCCCACAAGCTGCATGTCTTTGGACGGTGGGAGGAAGCCGGAGTACCCGGAGAGAACCCACGCAAACACGGGGAGAACATGCAAACTCCACACAGAAAGACCCCGGCCTGATGGTGGAATTGAACTCAGGACCTTCTTGCTGTGCGGCAACAGTGCTAACCACCGTGCCACCGTGCTGCCCCATTTGTAATCACTTCCTTTGTAATACAGTGATTAAAGAGTGGGTTTTCTTTCATTATAAACTAATGAAAGGAGGAGTTGTGATACTTTTAAATTAAAACAGAAAACTTACAATCTCCAGGTAAATTTTTAATCCTACTAACTGCATGTGGCTCACCGAAGGTGGTAAGAATAAAAAAAATGGTCAGACTCGGAGCTTTACCCATTTCTGGACTCGATGCTCAGCCACTCATGATCGCCATCCTGGTAGGGTCTGAAACGAATGCAGGAAACTGAAGAGAAGGACTCTAGTCCACGAGTGATGATGGCAATCTCACGGGAAGCTGGTAAAACATGGAATTATGTAGTAAACAAAAAATGTGAAATAACTAAAAACAAAGGGTGGCTGTTTTGAAGAAATAGCCACCCTTTGTTTTGATTACTGCTTTGCACACTCTTGGCATTCTCTCGATGAGAGAGGTAGTCACATAAAATGATTTTCCAACAGTCTTGAAAGAGTTCCCAGAGATGCTGAGCACTTGTTGACCCTTTTGCCTTCACTTTGTGGTCCTCATCCCCAAACATCTCCATTGGGTTTAGCTCAGGTGACTGTGGAAGCCCGGCCATCTGACGCAGCACTCCATCACTCTCCTTCTTGGTCAAATAGCCCTCACACAGCCTGGAAGTGTGTTTGGGGTCATTGTCCTGTTGAAAAATAAATGATGGTCTAACTAAATGCAAACCAGATGGGATGGCATGTTGCTGCAGGGTGCTGTGGTATCCATGCTGGTTCCCAACAGTGTCACCAGCAAAGTACCCCCACACCATCACACCACCTCATCCATGCTTCACGGTGGGAACCATGCATGTAGAGACCATCTGTTGACCCAAACAAATCTCTTCTGCTTGTTGCTTTTCCTTAGTCGTGCTTTCTTAGCAGCTATTTGACCATAATGGCCTGATTCGTGCAGTCTCCTTTGAACAGCTGATTAAGTCTAACTAGAGGTGCTGTTAACTTGTGATTTCTGAGGCTGATGACTCTTGGTCTTCCTTTCCTGGGGTGGTCCTCGTGTGAGCCAGTTTCATCGTACCATTTGATGGTTTTTGCTACTGCACTTGGGGACACATTCAATCTTTTAGCAATTTTCCAGACTGACTGACCTTAGTTCTTAAAGTAATGATGGACTGTGGTTTCTCTTTCCTTAGCTGATTGGTTCTTACCATAATATGAATTCTAGCAGTTTAGCACAACACATCTGATGGTCCCAACCCCATTAAGAAGGCAAGAAATTCCACAAATGAACCCTGACAGGCTCACCTGTGAAGGGAAAACCGTTTCAGGTGACTACATCATAAAGCTCATCGAGATATGGCCAAGGGTTTGCAGCGCTGTCAACAAAGCAAAGGGTGGCTACTTTCAGCAATCTAAGATATAATAAATATTTAGTTATTTATCAACTTTTTCTTTGCTACATAATTTCGTATGTCTTGCTTCATATATTTGATGTCTTCAGTATGTATGTACAATGTAGAATGTAGTAAAAATGAAGAAAAAACGTTAAATGAGAAGGTGTGTCCAACCTTTTAACTGGTGCATATGTCAGGTTATTGATTCAGGAAAGTGCTTGTGGTATATTCATGTATTAATTCTTAAAATGAAGATTAGTTGGTATCAAAGGGCAGAGTCTGAAAGTCATTAGATTTAATACAAATAGAGATGTTATAATAACAAGTCAGTGTAAAGATGAATTGTTGTCCACCAGGCATAAACACTGTACATAACTTGGCATTGGCCTGTTCCATGATTAAGAAAACAATACTTACAGTAGTGATTGGCAATGTAGTATGGGACATAGACTTTCCCATCAGTCCACTTTCCCCACATACAGCCTCTGGAGGTGCAGGGGTCAGCATTTCTGTCAGCTTCAGACTTGATAGCAACGTCACCTCCGATTAATGTCGGCTCATCAATGTCAGGTGCTGTAAGAAAAACAGAGTCAGCTCCTTGTCTTCAACATGCAGAATAGCAGTGGTTTATTATAGGTGGCACTGCCGTCATCAGTCATGCAATTCATACATCAGTCATAACAACTGATGAAAGTTCATATTAGCAGAACTAGGCCACCTCTCATGACAAATGACAAAGACCAGATTCAAATGCAAATGTTTAGAAAAACCGATAAAATGCATTTTTACTGGAAAAATCACAACATTGTACGTGGCCCCAGTCTAGGGTGTAATTAAAATAGCCAGTCCAGAGCCATTTTGCTTGTCTATTATTAGCACTTGTGATCTGGATCATGTGTAGACCTGAAGCTGCTAAAAAAAGCTTTTTCCTTTAAAAGTCATGTAACATAAAAAGTACAAATTTTGGTCAGTGTTGTTTCCCAGAATAGCTACACATTTTGCATGGAAAGTTTAGTGGCTGTAATTTGCTTTGTATGAGGAAAGATTATGCACTCGGTGGCATAGCTGAGTTAGATTTGGATCTAGTTCTCCGTTGTTATTGGTTCAGTTTTTGTTTGTATGAAAATGAGCTGTAGCTGGATGCGCCTTAAATTTCTTGTTCAGGAGTATGTCTTCCTGTGCCTATTGTGATGACAACATAAGTTATAGCTATATATAGTACACAGTTTAATATTTGCTTGACCGATAATTCAGTGTGGAGTGAATTACCAGTTAAACAGGAAAAGACTATCAAACTACGTTAAATCCACGTTGCTAACATCCCCACTTCTGTACCACCAATGCTGCTGCAACAAATATGTGCAAGTAAGTTCTAAAACAGGTAACCAACTTACTGTAGTTTCTATTGGCTCTCTCCAGCAGCTGACCTACAGAGAGCTCTCTGGGTATGTCCTCGTCAGTGCTAGGAATCTCTGCATAAGATAATATATTCACAGTAGACATGATCATTTTGAACACCAGCTCAGTTACAGCTGGATAGCTTTTACTTCAAATGGACTGACTGTTGCTTAACTTTCTTTTAATTGCTATCCAATAGCACAAAAAGTAGAATTTTAAAACCTGTAATAAATCTTCCCTTACTGGTGACTTTTGAATTATATCATAAAAAGCAATTATTTGTTTCTTACCTTCCTGTACTCAGCCACAGCAACATTACAAAGAACAGACAAAAGAGACATTAGTTTGTAACTGTAACTGAAAAGCAAAGGGACAACGGAAAATTAAAACAACTGAAATATGCATTTCATAATGAAATAAACACGACTAACAAAACTCTCATTATAAAACTGATACAACTCTTTGTACCAATTGTTTCTTTAATAGCATTTTTTATTTCAAATGTAATACTTTTTTGCATCAGGGGGAATTTGGCCTACACACAATTTAATTTAACACGCATGGTTGTCTCTGGAAGTTTCTACCTGAGCCCAGGAAGAGGATAGCAGCAGCAGAGTGACAAGACACCAACAGAAAACCAACATGGCTGCAAAAGATTTGTGATATAGACCACATTATTGTATGTTATCAAGCAGCATAGCTCATGCACATTAAAGTACTTAAAATGCAAAATTTCAAGGAAATCAGAAAATTTGCATGTGAACGATGGAGTTTGCGGTGATGACAGAAGACCTGTCTTACCTGAAACGCTGATGAGTGAGCGTCTTTCTGTCAAGTTTTATACTGTTCCCTGGCTCGCCAACGATAACAGGATGTGTCGAAAGGTGCAAACACAAGAGAAAGTGTTATCACTGCAGATGGAAAACTGTGAGTCATTGCAACTGGTGTGAAACTTTGCATCTGTCACAGGTTTAGTGTACACGCGTGTCATAAGAGCATGAAGTATTCAGATACATATATATACATCATACACACACACACATATGTATGTAGTGTTTTTCATTTTATGTCATAATGTAAGTTACTGTACTAACTAGAAAAAAAGAACATTTGAGAAAACGTTGTGGAGCATGCTAATATTCCTAAAGATACATTTTCTTCAAAAGTCTAATAACCCACAGTCTGTATTTACAGGGGTGCTGTAGCTCAGGTGGCAGAGCAGGTCAGCCACTAATCAGAAGGTCGCTGGTTCCGTCCTTGGGCAAGATACTAACCCCGTGTTTGCCTACTGGTGGTGGTCAGAGGGCCCGGTGGCGCCAGTGTCCAGCAGCCTCGCCTCTGTCAGTGCGCCCCAGGGCAGCTGTGGCTACAATGTAGCTGCCATCACCAGTGTGTGAATGTGTGAATGACTGAATGTAGTGTAGCGCTTTGGGGTCCTTAGGGACTAGCAAAGCACTATACAAATGCAGGCCATTTATTAATGTTAATATTAAGGACCTCAATTAACAATATTCATTGAACCTGACAAGCTTTAATAAATCCTTATAGCATTTTCTCAACTTCTGATGTCTGCAGAATTTTTTAATTCTAGCCCATTCCTCGTGCCAAAAGCTGTCAGCTCAGTTTGTATTCTGTGCTGTGACTGTTTGTATAAAACGGCTGAATGTGAGTCAATTCAGGAAAATAAATTTAAAAAACAAGCAGAAAAGTGGACACCATGAGAGGCTTAACTGGTAGTTGGAATGTTGAACTTACAGGTGAAAAACATGGTTTACCAAGGATGCCATCACCACCCCTACAAACCTGCACAAAATACTTCCAGTGCTTTTGACCGTGTATGACAAAAATGCTGCAAAGAAATACTATTTTCTCAGCTTACATGCATGTAATACCGTTGAAGGTACTGCAGACACAAGTATTTCCACATAGAAATCACTCATAATTCAACTTTGTATTTATTTATCTTTTTGTGGTACAGAGAGCAGATTTCTCCCATATTAGCTTCTCTTCATCGGCTTCCTGTTAAATACAGATTTGAATTTAAAATGTTTCTCACTACTTACAAGTTTTTTGAATAATCAGACCAAATCTTATCTTACTTGCGGTTCCTGGACTATTTAAAAGTAGAATGGGAGGCAGAGCCTTCATCATTCAGGCCCCTCTTCTGTGGAAGCAGCTTCCAGGTTGGATTCAGGGGACAGAATAGCCTCTCTTCTTTTTCAACATTAATCTTAAATCTTTCCTTTTTGCTAAAGCATGTAGTCAGGGCTGGATCAGGTGACCCTGAATCCTCCCTTAGTTATGCTGCAATAGGTCTAGACCAGGGGTGCCCAATCCCGGTCCTCGAGAGCTACCGTCCTGCAGCTTTTAGATGCATCCCTACTCCAACACAGCTGAATCAAATGGTTTGATTACCTCTTCAGCATGCCATCGTGTTTGGCAAAGGCCTGATAACAAGCCATTCATTTGATTCAGCTGTGTTGGAGTAGGGATGCATCTAAAAGCTGCAGGACGGTAGCTCTCGAGGACTGGGATTGGGCACCCCTGGTCTAGACTGATGAGGGATTCCCGTGATGCATTGAGTGGTTTTTCTTCTCTCACACCTTTCTCACTCACTATGTGTTAATATACCTCTCTGTATTTAATTATTAGTTGTTATTAATCATCCACATTAATTATCCACAGTTTCTCTTTTGTCCTGTTTTCTTCCCCTCATCCCCAACCATCCGCAGATGGCCTGCCCTCCCTAAGCCTGATTGTGCTGAAGGTTTCTTCCTATTTAACTGGAGTTTTTTCTTTCCACTGTCACCCAAGTGCCTGCTAACAGGGGGTCGTCTGACTGTTGGGGTTTCTCTGTATTATTATAGGATCTTTACTGTTACAATATAAAGCTCCTTCAGGCAACTGTTGTTACATTAAAACATTTATAAAATTGAATTTAATTGGTTTGTAAATGTTTGGACCACTTTTAGTAAACAGTACTTTATAGCTTGACGCAGCATGGTACCCAACTGCATTAGACAGGTAGCACAATTTAGTGATGACTCTAAATTCTTTGCTGGTATTAATGAGTGTTTTCGCTTCATTCTCTGTGTTGTTAATGTGATGGCCTGTCCACTCCACCTCTTCTCCATCCTATGACAGATGCTATCATAGTGGTGTCACTGCACAGGAAGAATGTTCTGGATTGATCTCTCCCAGTAGGCTAGGGTTTACGTGTGGAGTTTGCATGTTTTCAACATACCTGTGCAGGTCCTTGACCTTCCTCAAAAGATGTGCTCTTTAGGTTAACTGATGATTCTAATTTGTCTGCGGATGCGAGGAGATAGAGTACTCATAGGGTAAAATGTTGCCTATAGTATAAATCCATTTCCATCTATTATTATTGTCAAGCACATGTATTTAGGTGTTTTTGTAAGTGATGGGATATTTTTGACTATTCTTCTACAGCATGGTTAGACCTAAAGTAATACAGGCAGATAATTCACTGACATTTCTAAAAAGCAAAAGTAAGAATCACCCTGCATATAAATGTGTTGAGACGTCGCTGGAGTTTGATCATCTGTTAGTCTGTCTGAGAAAAAAAACATCCGCTGTTCTTATCAGCGTGAGATATTCAACATATTGCTGTCAATACAGCCTGACCTTGTCACAGTGAACAAGGCCAGGCATCATATTGACAGCAGTATGTTAACTCAGCAGATTCTATAGTGGGAAAGGCCAATTCCATCCAATTTTTCAACAAATTAATTAGCACAAAGAAAGCCTGTCCTCACTGTACCTGAGAAATGTTCAGGTTGAAAATCTTTACTCACACTGTGTAATTTGTTAAGACATAAAACAAATCATCAAGCTGCATTTATTAGTTCCAGGCTCGACTACTGTAATTCAAAAGCTGCAGCAAGAGTACTGACAGGGCTAGAGATGAGTGAGACGACACAAGAAGAAGGCACATAGTTTCAGTCTACCTGGGGAACATCACAGTTCAGCTCAGCCCAGTTTTTTAGTGGCATCCTCCCAATTTAAATATGATTGTTATTTGCAATGGAAATTACACATATTACACATTTTGAAGTAACAAAAAATAGAATTTTAAGTATTTTAAGCGCTTTTTTTCATATGATGTGTTTCATCGTGCCTAATAAGAACACAAGCACCAACAGTTACTACACGACTGAAACTCAAACTGAAAAACGAGCAAAAGATTCATTTTCAAATATACTGAGAGCTCTCCAAGTGAGAGCTACTGCAAGACAGGACAAAATAGAAAAAGAAAAAGAAAGAAAGTTCACTTTGCTTGAAATCCAAGTTCATCTTGCTTTTACCAGCCAGCTGTCCACATGGTGACACAGCTAGCTAAGTATGTGGACAATGTCAGTTTTGCAATTTCCTCCAGTATTAACTGTATTACACTGACTCTTTAGGAACTGTATGGATAATATTATAAGTCCAGGGTAAGAAAAAACATAATTCCAGCAAATCATTTCATTGCATTTAAATTTACTTGTGCATAAAATCAACAACGCCCACACGCAGAACTCAGCAGCCACACGCGTTACCTTAATGTTGAAGAAATATTTAAATCAGAGGATTCTTTGGCAGGTTCTGAAGTATTGTTGTCCCAATAATCTGTGCACAGTATCACATAGCTTCTATGATTTAAACAAGTCATCATACTAAGAAGCACGCATCATTATGCTGTGTAAATAACTGTATTACGCACCATAGCTGCTGCGTGCTATATGTGCTTCATGCTTTGTGGTGATTGTGACTTTCTGATTTCTTAGCTGAAGTCATGCCTAAATATGGTCACGTCTTTATTGTTGGAGATCCATGTGTGTTGTCCTGATAAACAAAGAGATTCTTTTAATCTTACACAGTGGGTGGCTGGACGGACCTACACAAGTACGTGGACATACATTGGACCTTGTTTCAGCCTATGGCCTGCCCCTTTCTAACTTGACAACTTGATGATTTTAGATGCAATGTCTACAGATCATAAGCCTGTGTTCTTTGACATTGTATTGTCCATGAGGTGCATTAAGAACCACGCTCCTGCATGGCATTGTCACAGCCACTGCAGCGCAGTTTTCAGTTCTCTTACATCAGACTTAGATAAACTCTGCCTCAGAGGCGCTCAGCTGCTGGTTCCAGACAACTCGGCTGGATTTCTATAACTCATTGTACCTTGGTATCATTGTCACATCTTCAGCTCGTGGCTGCCACACGGCTTTAAACTGCTACAAGGAGAAGGGAGCATATTACTCCCGCTTTATCCTCACTCACTGGCCGCCTGTCACTCCGGTCCTGGACTTGAAGACCACAGGGTACACCACACATCTATCTGCCGCCTGTTGTCAATGATCAATTTCTTTTCAAGTTCTTTTCATCTTTGTTTGATAAGTTTAATATTTGTTTATTAAAAATCTTAATTGAGTTCATGAAGAGACTAGCAAGAACAATAGTAAAGAGCTGTTTCTGCTCTTACTTAGATCTGTGGTTATTAGTAAGGTTATTGTTCAATGTCTTAATGAACAGTGAACAAAAGCTCAGATTAAATGCGGATGAGGTACTGGCTGTTATGTTCTTTTCTTTTCAGTGAACCCGCCCCCCAACAAATACAATTAGCGATACAAATGCCGGCTGCTTTGCACATCTC